AGCCGAGCCGCCCTACCGCCGAGCCGCCCTACTGTCGAGCCGCTGCTGTTCCTACCGGTGCGCCCCGGCCCTCCTTCCTCGGACTGGTGAGCTCACTCCCTACTAGGCCACTGCAGTCATGGCTACCCCAAGTATCCTTACTTTTGATGCTGAGGGCCGTGCCGTTGACTTTGAGGTCTTGGTCGATGACCTCCAACTGTTTCTCCAGTGCGATAGGGCAGACGGACTCTCTCTTTTCGATCTCACCTCTGGTGCCTCTCCTGCCCCGCCTGCTACTGCTGACAGCACTGTTCGCTCACAGTGGGCCACACGCGATGCTGATGCTCACCTCGCTGTGCGTCGCCACTTACCGACCACTAAGCGTGCATGTGAAAGTTTAGAAGAAAAAAGAGGACTGCACTAGCAAGAATGGGGATACAAATAGCAAACCCTAGAAGGGTTGTACTCGCTATAGAGCACCTCACTACAGGCTAGAGCATAAGATAACATTCTTATAGTGCACACTTTAGCCAGTACAAGAGTGCTCAGATCTTGTACGACGCTGTAGTTGCGCGCTACTCTTCCCTTGCCACTACTGGACTGAGCCGCCTCATGCTACCGTACCTCTTCCCTGACCTTGCTGCCTTTCCCACAGTCGTTGACCTCATTACGCACCTCCGCACTAGTGACACTCGGTACCGCGCTGCGCTTCCTGCTGAGTTCTGCGCCAAGAACCCCCCCCCCCCCCCATGTTCATCACCCTCTACTACATAGTCACCCGGCTCCGCTGTTTCTACGCACCGACACTTTGCTGCCGCCGTTCTAAATCCTCGTGTAGATCACTCGGGACAGAGCACGGCGCACCATTACTTTCACTCAGTCACACATGGTGCAGCAAGTCCTTCAGCGCTTCAACTTTCACTACTCCTCGCCACAGTCCACTCCTCTGCCTACCAGTCACTTGCTCTCATCTCCACCTTCGGACGAGTTCGTAGAGCCGATTGGCCCGTATCCAGAGCTTGTGGGGTGCCTCATGTACCTGATGACCTGCACTCGACCTGACCTTGCCTACCCTCTTAGCATCATGGGAATCTACGTTGCGCTCGGGAGACACTGACCAGAGCACTGGAAGACCGCTAAGAGGGTGTTGCGCTACTTGTGTAGTACGTCGGGCATGGGGCTCGTGCTTGGAGGACAGGGTCAAGTTATCCTCACTATGTTAAAGCTGAGAGTGCGGTAGCCATGGCTAGAAAGAGAGAAGGTAGCGAGAGAGTTGTATTAGAAAAAAGGTGTCGAGATACAAGTCTACAAAGGAATTGGAAACCCTAATTGAACTTTGGGTGTGTTCAGTTTGTACTATAGCTACGAAATGAACCTAAATTTAACTTGGAAGCGTAACTCGCTCTAAGCATGGTGGAACGATAAGAGAACACCAAAATAAAGGCCAGAGCGAGCTCTAGCCTACTCCAACACACCCCCATCCAGAAGGGGCTGAAGGATTTGGAACAAAACACCTAACGAACGGGAACACCTCTAGAAGTGGCAAGACGTGTGAGCCCAAGCTCGCGCACGTAGAAACGGTGTTGCGCACGTAGAAGGGCCTTGGTGAAAATGTCAGCAAGGTTGGCAGTAGCCGCCACCTTGCGAAGGCGTAAGAAGCCAGACTGCACCAGCTCGCGCACGAAGAAGTAGCGGACCTCTATGTGCTTGCTGCGGGTGTGATAGACAGGAGTTTTAGTGAGAGGAATCATGCTTGCACTGTCACAGGACAGCGTCATAGAGGGCTGAGAGTGACCAAGCTCAGCAAGGAGAAAGGAGAGCCAGCGAGCCTCTTGAGCTGCCAACGTGCCTACGTACAACTCAGCTTCACAGGTAGAAAGGCAGATAGAGGATGAGCGAGTGGAGCGCCAGCTGATAAGACCATTGCCAAGAGTAAAACCAAAACCCTGAGAGGAGTGGTGATCGGGGCGAGATTCAGGGTAGGAGGAATCATTGTAGCCGGAAAGAACATGGGGAGAAGAGCCACCAAGAGTGAGAGCGAGATCAGAGGTAGCGCAGAGATAGCGAAGAATGCGCTTGGCAGCCACCTAGTGTACGTCAGTGTGGCGACCAAGGCCAACAAAGCGAGAGAGGACACAAAGGGGGTAAGCAAGATCGGGGCGAGTGCACATCGTAGCATACATGGCTGACCCAACGAGCTCAAAATAGGGTCGCAGTTCTGAGGAGGGAGCGGGAACGGCAGGGGTAGTATGCTGATGGTTAGCGGGAAGAGGAGTGAAAACTGGCTTAGCGTGTGACATTTCAAAGTGCTGAGGGATAGAGTGGATGTAGAAAGATTGAGAGAGTGAGATGGTGCGCGTAGTACGATCGCGACGAATCTCCATGCCGAGGTAGTGGCAAAGCTCGCCAAGATCCTTGCACAGGAGACGTGCCTGGAGGGCTTGCTTGACAGCGAGAAGGTTGGCAGAATCTTCTGCGAGGAGCACCAAGTCATCCACGTAGACAAGAATGTAAACCCTGTGAGGGGAGGTATGAATGAAGAGACTGGGGTCGGAAGAGGAGGTGGAGAAGCCAAGAGAGTGAAGAGTGGAGGCAAGCTTAGTATGCCACTCGCGTGAGGCCTGCTTAAGACCATACACTGGGCACTTCAGCTCTCAGATAGTGCCTGGAGGGAAGGGGCAAGGAAAGCCAGTGGGGCGCTCAAGGAAAATGCGTTCATGAAGCTCACCTTGGAGAAAGGCATTGGAGACAACCATATAGTGAATCTCCCTATTACAACGGGTGCCTAGATAGAGGAGGACGCGAAGAGTGGGGAGACGGGCAGTGGGGGAGTAAGTGGCAAAGTAGTCAATACCTTCACGTTGGGTGAAGCCTTTGGCGCAGTAACGGGCTTTGAAGACAGGGAGCTCCCCAGGCAGCTGTTTGACACGAAAGACCCATTTTCCCTTCACAATGGTGGTGCCAAGGGGGGGGACAGAGTCAACGTAAGAGTGAGTCCTAGTGAATGCCCCACAGTCGGCAATGATGGCCGCCATCCACTTAGTTGCATGAAAGCCAGACACTGCCTCGGAATAGGTCTGAGGGGTGGGAATAGCGGCAGTGTCAACGGAGCGAAGAGTGGGAGAATTGGAGAAGTCACAAATGGTGACACAGAGGAGGGGTGAAACAGGATGAACAGAGAAAATCTCCTCAAAGCGATCTTCGAGAAGATCAACCTTTTGAGAGAGAGAGAGAGACGAGTAAAGAGAGCAGAGTGTTGAAAATTGGACATTGGACGGGTCATGGAGCGGGTGAGACATGGAGAGGGTGGGGGGGCAGGTGCAGAAGGGAGGGTAGCAGAAGGAGGTGATGAGGGAGGGGCCATGGGAGCAGAAGATGAAGAGGCAAGAGGAGAGATGCCAGAGATGATAGCGGAGGGGGGAGTGGAGGAGGCATGCAGGGGAGATGGAGCAGGAGCAGGAGGAAGGGGAGGAGGAGAGGGAGGAGCAGAGGGCATTGGATCAAAGTCAGACCAATGGAGAGAGGGAGCAGGTGGGGTGGGAGGGGGAGTGAGGAATGGAGATCGAGTCTCATCAAAGATGACATCCTGGCTGTGAATGAGCTGAGGAGAGGAGGGAGCATAGAAAAGGTAGCCAAGACAGTCAGAGTTGATACCAATAAATGCACACAACTGCGTCTTGGGAGCGAGCTTCCCACCCCGACCCGCCCGATCAGCGGGATTGATGAGGATATGAGCGACACAGCCCCACATTCGAAGAGGGCGGGCAGAATGATGGCGGCCAGTCCAGAGCTGAAAGGGTGTAATGGAAAAGCGAAGGGGATGGGGGCGAAGGTTAGAAAGAAGAGTGGCGTGAACAAGACCGTAGCTCCAAAGAGAGTGGGGAGCAAAAGCATGCGTAAGGAGACAGCTGGTGATCTCCGTGAGAGTGCAAATACGACGCTCGGCAACACCATTCTGTTCAGGAGAATGTGGAAGGGTGGAGGTTTGGCGAATGCCATGAGAGGAGCAGTAAGAAGAAAGAGAGTGGTTAAAGAACTCGCCACCACCATCAGAGTGGAGGCGTGCGACAGGGCGGCCAAAGCGAAGACGCGCCTGCTCAGCCCCGCGAATGATGAGGGAAGGGGCGTCAGATTTGGCACGGAGGGGATAAACAGGGGCAAAGCGAGAATGGTCATCGACGAGAAGAAAAAAATTAGCAATGACCCTGACGAGACAATGGGGAGAGGGACCCCAGAGGTCCATATGCACAAGATCAAGGGGTTTGGGGGAGGCAGACGGAGAAGAAGGATGAGGAGATTGGGAGAGCTTGGCTTGAACATAAGGGGTGCATGGAGGAGCGGGAGAAGGGGGAAGGGGCGGGAGAGAGGAAGGGAGATCATGAAGCAGCTTCGAGTTGACCATGCTGCGAAGGAGAGGGAAGTTGGGGTGGCCAAGGTGATGAAGGGTAGGTTGGGTGAGAGAGTGACAGTCACAAGAGGAGACGGGAAGGGCAGAAGAAGAGGAAGTGTGCTTGATGGATGAGAGGATGGGAACACGAAGGGTGTAGAGGCGAGTAGTAGGAAAAAGGGTGAAACGAGCGAGGTGCCGGTCATTATAATGAAGATCACAATAGAGTGCACCTGCGGGAAAGAACGCTCGCACACCCAGACGTTGGAGGGCAGGGAGGGATAGGAGGTTATGACGGCAAGAGGGAACATAAAGTCCCGCAACAGTGCTAGAGGGAGAGGCAGGACAGGGAAGAGAGGAAGTGCCTGTGCATATCATGGTCATGGTCTTCCCAGCCCTATTGATAGAGAGGGGATGAGGAAAATGGCAAAGGACACCGGCATCACGAAAGACAGAGTCAGTAGCAGCACTATCAAGGACAAAATCCAAGGAGCGAGGAAGTGAGAGAGCGGCAGTCGTAGGGCTGGGAGAGTGAGAGACAGTGCTTGGAACGGGTTGAGAAAGTGGAACGACAAAACAAGGGTTCATAAGAGGAGAAGCACCAAGGATGCTATCCACGGATGAGATGGTTACACTAAAGGCAGAGGCCTGAGAACCAATACCAGAGGTGACAGCGGCACAAAAGTGGCGACGGTGATGGGATAGCGGAACCCAAGCAGAGGGGCAGAGAAGAGGGGAAGTCCATCGGCAAGTAGGAGAGGTGCAAGGGAAGGAAGGGGCAGCGAAGGGAGCGGAGACTAGGAGGGCAAGGGTAGGAGAGGAGATACGGCAGGAGAGGTAAGAGCGAGAATAGGCCCCGTTGGGGGAAGGGGGTAGCAATGGAGCACATGTGGGGAGATAAAAGAGGAGGAGGAATAGAGACGAGGTAGTCAGATGCTGAGTCGTTGAGGGGAGAAATTAGAGGAGGGATAATGGCGGAGTAGTTTGCTGCTGCGCTGCTGGGGGGAGAAATAAGAGGAGGAGGGATCATGGCGGAGTAATCTGCTGCTGCGCCGCTGTTGGGAGAAATAAGAGGAGGAGGGATAACAGCTGAGTAGTGTGCTGCTGCGCCGCTGAGGGGAGACATAAGAGGAGGAGGGAAAACGGCGGGGTAGTCTGCTGCTGCGCTGCTGAGGGGAGTAATACAAGGAGGGACAGCGGTTAAGTAGTCTGCTGCTGTGCTGCTGAGGGGAGAAATACGAGGAGGGATAGCGGCGAAGTAGTCCGCTGCTGCGCCACTGAGGGGAGAAATACGAGGAGGAAAGGTGTGGAAGGCGACGAAACACGGACAGCTACCAGCTGCAGCAGATAGGGAGAGAAGAGAGGCGGAGGAAGAGGTGAGAGGGTGGGGGAAATAGAGGGAGAGAGAAGAGGAGGAGGAGGGTGAAGGAGCGGAGTTTGGGGAGGAAGGAGGGTCACGATCACCAAGTGGCAATCGGTAACACACACCCAGGTGGCAGATGCGGAGGGGAAGGAGGTGGAGGAAGGGAGGAGAGGCATGGAAGGGAGGAAGGAATGAGGAGAGTAGGAGGAGGAAGAGGCAGATGGGGAGAAGGGAGAAGGAGGAGGTTGTGCAAAAACGGCAGAAGAAGGCACACCACGGGGGGGGGGGGGGGGGAGGCGCCTGCAGGGAGGTGAGGCAGGCCGCCCACGAGAGGGTAAGGAAGGGTGGCATGGAGGAGGGAAGGGTGGACGGGAGGAGGGAAGGGTGGCCGGGGAGATGGAGGGCGGTAGGCAAGATGCGCGCGCGCGTCGATGGCGGGGAGGCCGCGCACGTCGTCGTCGACGCGCGCACGTCAACGACGAGCAGGGCGCGCAACGCAGCGATGAGTAGGGCGCGCGACAAAGTGGGGAAGGGGGAGGGTGGCGCGACGACAGGAAAGGGCGCACGACTAGGCAGGGAGGCCTTGGGTGATGGATAATATGTTCCGTGATTGAAAAAAAAAAGGGGTCGGAATAGTAGGGAAAATAAATTTCGACTAGGTAAAAAGTGGCGCGCCAGATGCCTAAGGCCTAAACCATACTAAGATATATAGATTGGGACAAAACGTCAAGGATTTGACTCTAGATACCATGTTAAAGCTGAGAGTGTGGTAGCCATGGCTAGGAAGAGAGAAGGTAGCGAGAGAGTTGTATTAGAAAAAAGTTGTCGAGATACAAGTCTACAAAGGAATTGGAAACCCTAATTGAACTTAGGGTGTGTTCAGTTTGTACTATAGCTACGAAATGAACCTAAATCAAACTTGGAAGCGTAACTCGCTCTAAGCATGGTGCAACTATACGAGAACACCAGAATAAAGGCCAGAGCGAGCTCTAGCCTATGTCAAACATTTATCATATAGCCTATTTAGGTTGTAGTCGGGTAGATACTAAGGGGTACAGTTTCCTAGGGTTTCATACTTGTACCCAACTCATTTCCTAGTCAATGATTCCTCTTTCTTTACATGGTATACAGCGGGTTCCTAGTGGGACCGTTTCTTCCTAAGGGCCCACCATTAAATTATTTTTTTTTCCTAGCCTGCCCGAAGCGCGCTTCGCGCTCTGCCCTGCCCTACCCTTTCGCGGCCCCTTAGCGGCCTGCCCTGCTCCTGAGGCCCGTCGCGGCCCCTTAGCGGCCCCTTCACTGCCCCTTAGCGCCCCCCCCCCCCCTTCGCTGCCCCTTAGCGACCCCCCTTCGAGGCCCCTTAGCGGCCCCTTCGCGGCCCCTTCACGGCCCCCCTCGCGGCCCCTTAGCGGCCCCTTCGCGGCCCCGCCCCGTCGCCACCCGGGTGTCGCCCGTGCCTCGTCGCGACGCCTCAACGGGACCCGCTCGTCGCCCCTGCCTCGTCGCGAGTCCCCTGCGGGACCCGCGCCCGATCGTCGCGACGCCCCTGCGGGACCCGCGCGGCGTCGCTCCTGCCCGCCGCGGTGCCCTGCCCTAACGCGCGCCCGACCTTCGGACGGCCGCCCCTGCCCCCCCCCCCCCCCCCCCCCCCCCTCCCCCCCTGCAGCAGCCGCCCCTGGCCCCTGGAGCAGCCGCCCTTGCAGCAGCCACCCCTGCAGCAGCAGCCCCTGGCCCCTAGAGCAGCCGCCCCTGGCCCCTGGAGCAGCCGCCCCTGCAGCTGCCGCCCCTGGCCACTGGAGCAGCCGCCCCTGCAACAGCTGCCCCTGGCCCCTGGAGCAGCCGCCCCTAGCCCCTGGAGCAGCCGCCCCTCCAGCAGCCACCCCTGGCCTTTGGAGCAGCCGCCCCTGCAGCTGCCGCGGAGCCCTCGCCCTGCACTGGTGGCGGCCTCGCCGTTGCCGCCGTCGTACGCGTACTCTTCTCGCCACTGGTGAGCACTGCCTTGCCCGTACTGCTGTTACTACTGATCCTGCTGCTGCTGCTCTTTCTACTGCTACTGCTGCTCCTGGCGTGGCCAGATGCAGCTCCAGCGCCGTCAGCGTGAGTCTCTCACGCTCCAACAGCTTCGTGAGTGGTACGCTAGTTGGGGTTGTAGTGGTGGCCGCACTGCTACTATTGCTACTGCTGCTACTGTGGCTACTACTGCTATTGCTGCTACTGCTACTACTGCTGCCACTGCGGCTACTACTGCTACTGCTACTCATGGCGGTGGCCAGCTGCAGCTCCAGCAACGTCCGCGTGAGTCCTTCCCGCCCCAGCAGCTTCGTGAGTGGTACGCTAGTTGGGGTTGTCGGGGTGGCCGTAGTAGGAGTCGTCATGGCGTGAGTAGTTCGGGAGCTTCTTGTAGTGGCCAGATGCAGCTGCAGCGTCGTCCGCGCGAGACCCTTTTGCCCTAGCAGCTTCGCGAGTGGTACGCTCAGAGTAGAGGGTCACTGAGTAGTGCTCACTGCCCGTAAGTCATTCGCACAGGTGTCCGGACAGGTCAGCCTTGCGGGACACCTGGTCACATAGAGTCCCGCTGCTTCGCCCGTCTGAGCAACGTTGGCGTACAGAGTTTCGCCACAACGCTGAGCTCCCCTCCTGGCTGGAACTGCTTAGGCAGAGGGTAGATATATTTGCTCTTGACTATGATGCTATCCTCACTGCCATGTATGCATTGCCTACTAGTGCTGAGGGTGTCAGTCACTTGTGTGTGCCACCTGACCTCGGTATCGAGTGTGCTGCTCTAGGTGCTAGTGAGGCTACTGCTCTAGGTGCTGGTGCGTCCCCTGCACCAGGTGCCGGTGAGGCTGCTGCTCTAGGTGCTCGTAAGTCTACTGCTCTAGGTGCTGGTGAATCTGCTCTCTCTGGTGCTGCGCCTGCTGCGGTTTTGCACACCTTCACCCTTGACTCGGGTGCTTCCCGCTCCTTCTTTCAAGACCGCACCACACTCACGCCGCTTAGTCGGCCGGTTGCACTCTCCCTAGCAGACCCCTCTGGGGGTCCTGTCCTTGCCCACTACTCCACTGTCCTACCGTGTCCGGTAGCCCCTTCTGGCTCCCTGTCCGGTCTTTACCTCCACTCGTTCTCTCTGAACTTGGTGAGTGGTGCTGACCTACAGGATGGGGGGGTTGATCTGTTCACTCCAGCGAGTAAGCGAGTGACCCACTGCACGTGTGCTCGAGCGGACCGCCACTTGGCCACATTTACCCGTCACCCGGGGTCGAGCCTGTACAACCTTACTAACGAGTCTCCTCCGGTTGCTGCGTCTGGTCAGGTAGCTGCGTCGGGTCAGGTGTTTGCTGCAGCGTCCAGGTCTGGTCTGAGTCTGCCCCCTGCTCGTGTCGTCTCCTATCTCACCAGACTCTCCTTTGGCACCACCGCCTTGGTCACCCCTCCCTGTCTCATCTCCAAGGCATGGCCTCCCATGTCCTTCTCTCTGGTCTTCCCCGGTCCCTCCCTCCCCTTCACCCGTGGCCTGCCCCTACCTGCGTTCCCTGCGTCGAGGGGCGGCAGCGCGCTGCTCCTCACTCCTCCGAGTTTCCTCCGACAGAGGCTCCGGTGGAGACTCTCCAAATTGACGTGTGGGGCCCAGCCCGCGTCCGTGGACAGGGTCACGAGCGTTACTTCGTGCTGGTGGTTGACGACTACTCGCGTTACACCACAGTCTTCCCCTTGCGCACCTAGGGTGAGGTCACTGCGGTGTTGATCGACTGGATCCGCGCTGCCCGTCTCCAGCTCAGAGAGAGTTTAGGCCCGGACTTTCCTGTTCTGCGTCTGCACTGCGACAGAGGTGGAGAGTTTTCCTCCGACCTTCTGCAAGCCTTCTGTCGTGCACGAGGCATCCGCCAGACGTTCACGCTTCAAGCCTCTCCACAACAAAATGGGATTGTTGAGCGCCGCATTGCCATGGTCATGGACGTCGCTCTAATATCCATGATCCATGCGGCTGCTCCCAATTTTCTGTGGCCGTTCGCGATTCAGTACGCGGCGGATGAGATCAACCTTCAGCCCGAGGTCTCCGTGCCAGAGACCTCCCCTACTCTGTGGTGGACGGGGAAGGTTGGCGATGCGTGTGGGTTCCGTGTTTGGGAATCTCGAGCTTTCGTCCGCGACTTGTCTTCGAACAAGCTGTCCTCCCGTGCTGTTCCTTGTGTCTTCCTTGGCTTCCCCCCTGACGCACCTGGTTGGCAGTTTTATCCCCCCACCTTGCGCCGTGTTCTGTCCTCCCATGACGTCACGTTTAACGAGTCGGTTCCTTACTACCGTATCTTCCCCTACCACGCTGCCCCCCTTCCCCCCCCCCCCCGCCGCTCTTCCTCGTGCCAGGTCCCCCCCGGTAGACCTCCTCCCCCCTCAAGGTCCTGCCCCCTCAAGTGTGTCTAAGGTAGACGCAGTTAAGCCTGTCCAGGTAGCTTTGACTCTGGGGGTGCTGAGCCCGAGCGTGCCGAGCTTGGGGGTGCTGGGTCTGGGGGTGCTGAGTCAGGAGGTGCTGAGCCTGGGGTTGCTGAGTATGGGGGTGCGGAGCCTGAGGGTGCTGGGCTTGCTCATCTGGAGTCTGGCGGTGCTGGGCCTGGAGGTCCTTCGGGTGCTTCACTGGGTTGTTTCCTCCTGGTACCTAGTGGAGCCTCTGGCAGCCAGTCTACGGTCTCCGCCAGGCGCCCCGTGAGTGGCACGACACACTGAGGACTACACTTGCGGCTCTTGGGTTTGATCCTTCTACTGCCGACCCGTCGCTGTTTCTACGCACCGACACCTCTTTGCCGCCGTTCTACATCCTCGGGTACGTCGACGACCTGGTCTTTGCTACTGCTAACACTGCTAGACTCGCCCACGTGAAGTCCGAGCTGCAGAAGAGACACACATGCACAAAACTGGGTGAACTGCGCAGCTACCTTGGCTTGCAGATCACCCGGGACAGAGCACAGCACACCATTACCCTGACTTTGTCACACATGGTGCAGCAGGTCCTTCAGTGCTTTGACTTCACGTACTCCTCACCTCAGACCACTCCTTAGTCTACTTACCACTTGCTCTCAGCTCTGCCTTTGGATGAGTCCGTAGAGTCGAATGGCCCGTACCCAGAGCTTGTTGGCTGCCTCATGTACCTGATGTGTCAGATATACATGACATAGCTGTTGTAGGCTATAGTGGGGTAGCACATATGGGGTACAGCTCTCTAGGGTTTGCATTTGTACCCAACTTTCACTTAGTCATTCTCATTCCTGTTCTAGTATTCTCACATGGTATAGAGCGGGTTCCCTGTGGGAACTTCGCCTAGGGCCCACCGAAGCGCGCCCCGAGGCGCGCTAACCTTTTTTTTCTCTCTCTCGAGCGACCCTCCGTGTCGCCCTTCCCTCGCGGCCCCGCTGCCCTTTCAGACGCGGCCTAGCCGCCCCTTTTACGAACGCGGCCCCGCCGCCATTTCAGACGCGGCCCCCGCCGCCCACTTCGGACGCGGCCCCGCCCGCCCCTTTAGACGCAACCCCGCCGCCCGCTCCGACGCGGCCCCGCTGCCTGCTCAGACGCGGCCCCGCAGCCTGCTTAGACGCGGCCCCGCCGCCTACTCAGCCGCGGCCCCGCCGCCCACTCGGACTCGGCCCCGCCGCCTGCTCAGCCACGGCCCCGCCGCCCGCTACGAAGCGGCCCCACCGCCTGCTCTGACGCGGCCCCGCCGCCTCCTCAGCCGCGGCCCCGTCGCCCACTCAGGCGCAG